GCTTACATGCTTTAAGAAGCTTTCAGTGGAAACAAACAGCACTGAGTTTATTTGATTTACTCTATATAAAGGTATGAATTAGAAGCCGTCAGACATAGATCAGAGAGCATGGTAATCATGGGAAACTCAGTACAAACCTACCAGAGAATAAAGTCTTAAACATTTCCATTGCCAAAATATTGACTAAGGCTCTGTTTAATTATTAGTGCTATAAAAAGTAGGTAATATTTACCTGGCCATAACAGTACTGCAGAAAAGTCACTTATCTTTCCTGCCAGGTGCCACATTTCTCACAGTTATATTAAAAAGAACAAGAAGAAATCTTCAGTTACTCCTCTCTAACAACAACAAAAAAAATCCACCAGCATACATAATTTGGCAGAGAAGAGGATTAATAAGAAGCTGATTAAAAAATGAGCGCCAGCTCCAGCCCGGGTGCTATATAACACCAGCAAGAACAACATTTCTATTGAAAGGTATAAACAGAAATGCACTACTAAGCAATGATTTAGCAGGAACGGACTGGCTCGGTATTTCTAAGCCTTCTGTAAAATCTCTCCAATCTTTGGTGCAGTCTATTTGAAAGATGATATGAAGGTGCTTGTTCTTAAGAAACTCAAGAGTATAAACATACTTAAAGGGACTTTCTGGCGTGTTCGCATAAAGTGCTCACCATAAATCCAATTTTACGAGATTATCAGCCCCTAGCACATATGTCACAACGTCTTGGAAGCGCATTTTCAGGAAGTTTACAGTGGCTTGTAACTCATTAACTGAACTTTAACATTATCACGCATTATGGGTTCAGATGACATTGTTGAATACCTTTTGGATTTTGGCAAAGATGCCCTGGAGTCATTAGTTATCTGTCAATCATTTACAAATCTCTTCTGCAATCAGTTAGCAAATAGTGTTTTATCATTATAAACATGTATTCTTGTACATGTGAGTCATTATAAGCATTCTGCACAGTGGTACCTGGTGAGTTCAACGGACTAGGAAAGGCATAAACCAAGATGCTGTAATGGAAAATGCTCACACCGGCCAAAAGGAAATGATTAAAATACACCTTGATTGAGAAAAATAATTAGTGAACCTGGTGGGTGTAATTTGTTTTCTGTTTTCCTCCCAGCATGGTTGGGAGCTAAACTGCTCTGTTAACTGTGGTTGAGCTGAATTCCGAGCACCTGTTATTTGAACCACATGTGAACGCTACTCTGGTCTCTCTTTCAGAAAAACATGTTCGTTTCTCACAAACTACTGACTACCCATTTCTATTAAATTAGCCTGTGCAGATAAGCTTCAAAAGACCAAAGTAACTCATTAATGTACTATTTCCTCAGCGTGCCAGTAAGGCTTGAAGGAAACTGAGTAAGAGAATGACAAATAGCAAATCATCTTCTTTAAAGGTTCTGCTAGGAGTTATTAGGCAACTTCATAAGGCTACTGTTCTTCAGCTTTTTTTTTTTTTTGTACATTTCCCAAAATAACTGTAACTAATCACAGGCAGTTCAAATTCAATATTTATGCTATCACCTGTTTGGTTAACCATATACAAGGAAGAGGGAAGCAGAACAAATCACTTTCTGATGCCATTGAGTTTCATGAAGCCAATGGTACTTGTTTAAGGTACAGCTGTATCTATGACTAGGATAAAACTCACATGGTGTATGTCTCCCGAAATCCCACTCAGAGATATGTGTTCCCCACACAAACACACAGAAATACTAGATTTTTTTTTTTTCAGTGCTGGGGATTGAATGCAGGGCTCCCCAAGCCCTACATCCCCAGCCTATAAATGCTTGCTTTAGGTGATATTTGCATGTATATTGAACACTATGTGCTCATATAGATAGATATATATAGATAGGTGTATATTCATATAGATATATCTATATAAATACCTAAACCTATATAATAAGTACATATGTATAGATATCAGATATATGTAGATTATATATTTCTTACCAAAAAAAAAATGTTGGATTCCATCATTTTTGCCTTTTTAAAAAATTTCTGGAGACAGGGACTCACTCTGTAGTCCAGGCTGGTCTTGAACTCAGTATGTAGCCCAGGCTGGCCTCAAACTCAAACTCATGGCGATCCTCTTGCCTTAGAATTCTGAGTACTAGGATTACAGGTGTGTGTCAACATGACTGGCATGTTTGTCATTTTTTTTTTCTTTTTTTTGGTACTAGGAATCAAACTCAGGACCTTACGCTTGCCAGGCAGGCGCTGTGCCACTGAGCTATATCCCCAGCCCATTTTTGTCATTTTTACTTGTGAAAAATTCAAGGCTTATGAGGCCCAGCATCCCTTTGCCCCCAAGCAGGTGGGAGAGCAAGGAAGGGGTCATGAGTTTTCTGGGTCGAAACCCCGACTCCTAGCCACCCTGAGACGTGACACTGTTTCTTACCTTACTCTTCTGGTACATTCTCCAGCTCAGGTTGTACACACCATGCAAGCTGCTTGGTTTCTCATGGGAAACAGCGAGAGCTTCAGCCAATGCTGTGAGAGGATCTGGGGACTGGATAACAGGTGAAGCCTTAACAGACGTGTATCCAATACTGGGGCCTGTATCAAAGACCCACATATTCCAAAGTAGCAATATACATAAAATGTGCTTGGAGAAATACAGAGCCCTTTGTATTTCCATCTCTAATTAGAGTATTGGGCTCAGTGAAAATCGTATTTTGAAACCCACCATATATTTAAAAGAAAATTGATCCAAGTAAATAATACCTAATTCGGCATTAATGCAAAGTCGATTGCATTGGTTATGTGTACACGAGAACTCAAAGCTTGAAGGAGAAATCAGCATGTTTATTACCTGTCCCCGCCAACAGCCAGGATTACCAGTTATCTCAGTTGGTGAAAAGCAACACCATTTTTTTTTCAGTCCTGGAGACTGAACCCAGGGTCTTCGCACTGAGTTATATCCCCAGCCCTTAAAAAAAATTTTTTTATACAAATCCCAGCACCCCGATGGAGCAAAGGTTGAGTGTGTACAGGCAGCATTCAGAGGCGGCGGCCCAGCCCCAAGGTGTGCGGTGGGAGGGCCAGAGGGCGTGCATTTCCCTCCCAGCTGCTCCCTCCCCACACAGCACCTTATTGCTCACATGCAATACCCAACCCTTCAACTGAAATAAAGTGAGGCGAGAGGAGCGATGGAAACGTGACAGTCATCAGAGCTAAAAACAAAGGAAAAAGGGCCATAAATTCCATGATTCAAAGCTCTGGGCAATCTATTACATATATGACGTGTGAAATTTTGTTAGAATAAATGTCTGTATAGCCAGGTATGGTGGTGCATGACTGTAATTGCCGTGAGTTCGAGGCCAGCGTGGGCTACATAAGCAAGTTCAAGGCCAGTCTGCACTACATAGTGAAACCCTGCCTAAATAAATAAACAAATGTCTGTTGAGTTAATGATCTGTACACATTCACAAACAATCCCATTTGTTTCATTTAAAAGAGGTGTCAAAAAAAAAAAAAAAGAGATGTCAAGCGCCAGGTGTGGTGGCGCACGCCTGTAATCCCAGCACTTGGGAGGCTGAGGCAGGAGGATCACCAGGAGTTTAAGGTCAGCCTGACAGGCATAGTGAAACCATGACTCAAAAAAATGGGGAGAAAATTTTAGAAAGTGAAAAGGGCCAAGTGGTAAAGGTTCAATACCCAGCACCTCTTTTCCCAAAAAGCACACTGTTCCACAGTGTGGGGAAAGACCTGCATTGCTCTAAGAATTTAGATTTTATTCGAAGGACAATAGAAATATTCATCCAGGGGCTGGGGATTTAGCTCAGCGGCAAAGCGCCTGCCTGGCAAGTGCAAGGTTGTGAGTTCAATTCTTGGTACTGGAAGAAAAACAAAAACAAACAAACAAACAAAAAAGAAATAGTCATCCAGAACTCAAAACTACTTTTAAGCATATGTGTAACAGTTCTTTCATAATGAAAAATAACTCAGATTTTCTCATGGACCCAAGCAAAGAATAATAACTTTAAAATTATGGAAAATGAATAAATTCATGCAAAATTCACCATTTTGCCAGCATTAATACCAAACCACAAGTATTAATGTTATTAGGATAAAGAAATAGACTTCCTTTTAACTCCTTACCTAATGAATAGGCATGTTTTTCAAAAGTTACTTGAGGCCAGGTGTGATGGCATATGCCTGTAATTCCAGCAATTTGGGAAACTAAAGCAGGAGGATTGCAAGTTTGAGTCTGATCTGGGCAACACACTGAGACCTGTCCCCAATTTTTTTTTTCCAACACCGGGAATCGAACTCATGATCTTGCGCTTGCCAGGCAGGTGCTATGCCGTTGAGCTAAATCCCCAGCCCCTCCTGTCTCAAAATTTAAAGAAATGAAAAGGGTTGCGGATGTAACTCACTGCAAAGGCTCTGGATTCCACCCTTAAGGCTACCAAAATAAATAAATAAATAAATAAAAAACAATTCAGTTACTAAAACACGAATAAATAAAGGGCCATAAGCTTGGAAAAGCTACTTGTGGTGTTTCACAGTGTAGATCATTTTTGAGGTCATCAATTAAAGAATTAACGTTGGCCAATGTTATCACCTAAGATGTATGTACGAGGGGTCCAGAGCTGTCCATCCTTCTCCCGGCAAGAAGTGATGACATCAGGAGGAGGGTATGTCACAACCCAAAGTGTAGTTAGTGGATTTGAGCTGGTTTGGTGTTTTATTCCCTCAGCATGATCTTCTGACCCCCTCAGTTTTACAACTCTCCACTCTGTGGGCTGCATAGCACCTCTCCTCTTCTGAGTTAATCATTTCTTCGCCATTATCTGCCAAGAGTTCTTATCTCCTCTGCTGTCACTTTATAACAGGGACCTCTTATCAACCTGCACAAAGTCACGTGACCCGTCCAAGCCTATCCCAAGTTCCTATGCCTGTGATTAGAAACCATCATGAAACTGGATCCATGGTTTACAGCGGGTCACAGATGCTGGAAAAGGTACAGAGTCCATGGAAAGACTTGCTCGTAACTTTCTGAATTCTGATTTTTTTAAAAAAAACTTTTTCTTAACTTTCACTGAGGAAATACAGGTTACTGTAGTCTGATGTTTGCTCCCCAAGGTCACAAAATATGACAAGCAGCAGTTTTTCTTATGCTCAATGATTTCTACCTTAACCCAAAGGACTGCCTATAATTTCACTAAGAATGTCTTCTTATTCCGATACTGGGGATATACAAGAATCTCTAAAGCGTGGATTTACACCTATTGGTAAGTAGGAAGTTGCTCTATTTATCAACTAGTTATTATTCTGCTACTGCAATATACAAGTAATATAATCTCATGGACATGTTTTGTATTTTAAATCCTACTTTTCCTACATAATAAACCCATGCATGTATTACATTTTCTCTCTCTTACATTTCATAAACAGTAATATTTCAACATATATTATTCATTATAGCTAGTGTTTGATGTCATTCTGTTATATTAAGACAGCCAAAAGTTATAACTCATAATCTATTGACTGCAGCCTTAACATTTCCTGGCAATTTTTTAATCAGATATAAAAAGCTAAGAGTTGAACAGTTTGAAACAAGTTATTCACATTGAGTGACCACTGGTCAAACTACCTGAACGGAGAACTTTTTGGTAGCTGGGAAATTTCAAACTACATGACAGTATGGTGTCTCATTCACTGCCCAGACCTGCAGAAAAATTTTTATTTTCTTGCCAAATTAAAGTCATGCAAGGAAAAAAAAAGAAAAAAAACCTAATTCAAGGGTTAGAAGAGTAACCATCTTTCGTAATAATGACCATGTCTTGTTTTCATAAACAAAAATAAGTACATAAAGCTTTTTCTTCTCTTTTTCCTCGTCCTTGTCCTAGTCCTTTTTTCAAAGGCCATGCTGGGTGTGGACCCTCGTCTGGGACAAGTGCCACATGAATGAGCTACACCCTTAGCTCCACAAACCACTTTTTCATTTTCAAAAATGCAGGGTTACAAACTTGGTTTTACGGCAAGACTACGTCCAGTTAATCCTCACAGTGCTTTCCTGGGGGCTGTGATTAGTCTAGTGGACATCATGCCCTGCTGGCCTCCAGTTTTGAGGGATCTGTCTGATGAGGCTTTCTGGGACTCTTGGGCTGGAATTTCCCCCCCAACTTCCAGGGGCCTGGCCCGAGCTTGGGGTTCCAATTCGGTCGGAACCAGAAGAAAAATCAGGGCTTGGCTTCTCCTGATTCCCTTGGGGGTAGCCAGCTGACTCCACAGAATGCCGTGATTGCTTTTTTTATGGGCCAACTACACCCTAAAGTATATCAATTGAGGAAATGTGTACTAAAAAAAGTTCTGTACCTACGAGACAAAAAACACGGGGTGCGGGGGCACGTAGAGTGCAACAGAGAATCCCTTGCTCTGCAGGTAACAGAGAAAACACAAGAATGGAGCTTGAAAAGGCGCAGGAATCATTTGCAATCTCTCTGGTCGCGCGCGGGCTGGGAGTCCTCGCTGGCCGCGAGCGCTGGGCCAATCCCGCCGGCTGGGGTTTGTGGGGGGAGCGCGTTCCGGCCCGGGACGCGCACCGCGGGGAGCGCGCTGGGGGGGGGGCTCGGGCTCGAGCCTGTGCTCGCTCCCGCTGGCTGCCGCCAATGAGAAGCCAGCAAGGGCGCGGGACCGCACACGCGGGCCCCGCGAGTGGTCGCACAGACCACGGGGGTTAACTACAGAAGCAAGGCAGCGAGAGCAGGTGGTTTGCCCTTCTCTCTGCTGCAGCGAGACAACTGCATATTCAAGCCCCGGCGATCACCCAGCAGGGGCAACGCTGGAGCAGGGGCGGGTCCAGCCGACTGTAGGTAGAGACCACCCGCGGATCTGCGATCTGCCCCATCGCAGAGGGCTGGGAGTGGTAGGGCTGTGGGTCTAAACCAGGACTGAAATTCAACAACAACGCCCAAAGACGGGCTTGGTGGCACAGACACTAACCCCAGCACTCTGGGAGGCTGAGGCAAGCTCCAGCCAAGCCTGGGCCCATCTCAGGAAAAAAAAAAAAAAAAAAAAGTTTACAAGAGGCTGGGGATGAACTCAGTCCAAAGACTCTGAGTTCATGCCCAATTCAGAAGAAGGGGGACAGTGCCCGGAGGGGCCCCCGCCACACATACCTATATCTGCCCAGGCGCTTTTGGCGCCGGATCCCAGATGACAAAATTGCAGTCAGCTCTCCTTTCTCTGAGTCTTAATCGCAGCCCCCGGGGCCCAAGCAGGCTCCTTGGCCTTTCTCCCGGCATTGCGGTCAGCCAGTGGTTTAAGGCAGAGCCTTAGGGACCCGCGAGGCTGCATCTGTTCACCCAGTAGCTGCCCAAGAGTGTGGAGGGGCGGTCATGGGCTCTTGGCTGGACAGAGCCATCCACAGGCCTGAGGGAGAAAGGAAGGGGCAGTGTGGAGTCCTGCTGGGTTGACCCCATTCCTGAGGGAAGAGCCCCCTTGGATGGGTCTTTCTGACTGTCCAGGTCAGGCCTGCCAACAAGAACCCAGCAGTGAACTTGAAGAGAGATCACCTGGGGTCCCTGTGTAGCTCCAGTTTGACCCAGTGACTCCAACACACCACCAAGGGCTCCCAGCACTACCTCTGGTTTAGTTACTCTAGGCAATGTGTCTCCTCCATTTAGAAAGCCGTTTGTGTGGGTCTTTGCTGGGCAAACATTCGCTTCTGTGCACTGGGGGTTACGTGACAGCTGTGTACAGGTATCTGTGCTTGTATATAAAAAGAGAATTAAGGTAAAGTTCCACCTTCTGTCTACCTGCGCGATAATTTTCCAGGTCTGGAGTATAACTGGATCATTCCCTTTAAGTCAGTTAACTCAAGACACTGGCTAGGTTCTTAGTTACTGGCCTAGGATTTTTTTCCTCCCTCCCTAACAGTTACTGCACAGAACGATATACCGTACTAACTTGGCTTTTTATACTTACTTATATCTATGAAACAGCCACATCTGTATGGTAGGAAACAAGTTCTGTAACAGGTATTTATTGTCTTCTTATATAGGCCCAACATCACGCTTTGATTTATATTAAATTTACCTAATTTTTTAAACCACAGTGGCAGAATATTTTATGTACCTTCAATAAACTATTGCACACTACCCACGGGAAGTTACATCTTCATAGCTAAGGATACATAAATACACAGTGCAAACATTGTACTGAGTCTGTGATAGGAGGTTTACCATCTGGTCACCTTAACATTCCCAAAGTCTGATTTTAACTCAGTGATAACTTCTAGCAAGCTCTGTATTCATAGAGACCTCTGAAAGTAGATGTCACTCAGTGGGAAATGTGATAGTCTGTTGTGTCACCTTAATCTCTAGCCAAATTCATCTGCAGTGCAGTTTAGAATGCCAGGCACCCTACTCCACTGATTCCTGCACTTTGGGCTAGGCAACCAGTTCCTTTCAGGAAGCTAAACCCTGAAACCTGCTTTCCTTTCCCTGCTTCCAAAATGGTGCTTCCCAGATTCCTTTTCACTGGCCTGGGTCCACAAGTAGTGGCCAAGATTTCTTTAAGATTTATTTTAACAGGCCAGGAAAGATTTACAGCAGAAGGGAGAACAGAGGTTTGGTCATGTCTTCCTTCTTTGCTGACCCCCTCCACTAGACACAGTGTCTAGGCTTATCCTGGCTCAGGCTTGAAATGGGCTAGAAAAGTATTTCAGAGGACCAGGCCTGGTGGTGAACGCCTACAGTCCCAGCACTGGCGAGGCTGAGGCAGGAAGATAGCCACAAATTTGAGGCCAGCCTGAACTACATAGTAAGTGCAAACCAGCCTGAACTACATGGTGAGAGCCTACCTAAATAAATAAATCAATCAATGTTTTAAAAATTTTAAAAAGACAAGGGCTCCAAAACAGATTTTTCTGGGCAGAGCAAGCCCAAACACATTCACCTCCCAGGTCTACAACTTCAGAGGAGCTACTTCTATGAGTTGCCCCTCCTCTTTAGCTTTTTGGAATAGAAACTTCTCTGACAAATACTATTGGCTTCAAGGAAACATAGGAATGGGGAGGGGGGTATCATGCTGCAGGGGGTTGGCTGGGAAAGAGCTGAAATACTGCCAGTGTGAGCTTGAGAGATGATGCTTGGGGAAACCAGGGGGACTACAGCTGATCACACAAATGGATAAAAGCTGCTTCTTTTTTTAGTCTTTTGGGAAGCTGTTATATATCCTTTTGTGTGACTGATAAATAAGAAAACTCTTGTAAACTCCAAATAATCTGAAAACAGATACCCACAAGCTATTTGGTGGACAATTTTTTTCAGGGACAATAATTAATAATTAATTGTCCACAAGAACTGTGAATTCCCATAAGATGATAAGTTAAGTATCTCTCATGGAAGGGATATGTCTACATTTAATGGCCCTAAAATGGTTAGTGATTTCCTACTTGTTCATATTCCTTACAGGAAGAGTTTGGGTGAAGTTGGAAGAGGCTGATATTTATTAACAGACATTTATTTAAGCAGAAAGCCTACTTGATGAGTCTCATTTTCCAACTGAAAAATAGAATTAGAAAGTTCACTTAATTTACCAAAGTTTACTCAGATTGTCTGGAGCATCAGCCGTAAAGAGAATGTGAGAAATTTGAGTCTGAAATATATGTTCTTTCCCAGTGTAGTAACTATGTACATGTTCTTGTTCATACAAAGAAATTAGGATTTAAACGTCAGGGCTGGGAGTGGTAGCACAGGTCTGTAATCCCAGCATTTGGGAGGCTGAGGAAACAGGACTGCTGAGACTTCCAGGCCAGCCTGGTCTACGCAATGAGTTCAAGGCCAGCCTGAACTGCACAGTGACAGCCTGTCTCAAAAATAAATAAATGAATAAATAAATAAATAACATTGGTCAGATTTTCTTCCAAAATACATTAGGGCTTAAGAAAGACCTTTTGTTTGCTTGTGTTTTGAGACACGGTCTCACTATGTAGCCCAGGCTGGCCTCCAACTGTCAGTGATCCTCCTGCTTCAGCCTGCCAGATGCTGGAATTACAGGCATGTTACTACACTGGGCTAAGAAAGTCATCCTAAAATGGCTCTTATATTCTTTTTAAACTCCAGAGTGGTAATCTCACATGGATCGCTGTAGAATTTAGAAGGGTGGGATGGGAAGCAGTGCCTGGGAGGCAAAAGTGGGGACATCTGGAAAAGTTCAGGTCGGAGCAGGTGGGGTGAGAAGCAATTTCTGGTCCCCTACTCTGGACAGGATCTCTGGGGTTTGG